AAATGGGAGCAGAGCAAGAGACGAGAAGAAAGAGACGAAGGGTGGGGAATGAGCAGCAGATGGAGGCAGGGGGTTTGATAAGAGATGGAGACGCGAACGAGGAAGGAGAACTGCCTCTAAATATGCTAATATCCTCGACGTAGGGTAATGAGTTCCTCGCGCCACCGCGATTCATCGGTCTGCTATGCATATATATTCAGCCATAAACACAACTTAGATTACTGTATGTAACGTATACCAACGGCCGTGGGGTGCCAGACTTATTGGTTGGCTTCGCCTCTTTCTTTGTTCCTGTGACAAAGCGTTATAGAATCCTCTTCGCTGTTTGCCATCGGGAGCAAACGGAAACCAGGGTGATGTTTCGTTACGATATCGAGAATCGTGACTCGTTCGGAGAGCTCTGGCGAATAATTCCTTTCACGTTGCTTCATCATTGTTAGATTAAATTCGACGAAAGTAACACTGGATGTATAGATCTGAAATTTAAGAACAATTTGATTGTTTATTGAAAACTGAAATTAATTCTTTCTTGGCCGAGCAAATTTTTTCATTGGTCTAGACTTCCAAAGATTGTTGGCTCGAAAGTTTTAATTAGCTACAATTAGTCATTATATTATAACTTTGATCTTTGAATTTCTAATTAAAATTTCAGTATTAGAAGAAAGTAATATATCGTGAATAAGATATTCATTTATCTCGGGAAGTGTTCATTTCTCTTGATATGAACTTCTCTTGACATGTTCGTGAACTTTTAAACGTGAGCGTAACCCTACGTATATAGATATAAAAATAAAAAAGAATAAAAAATTTTAATATTTGCTTTGGAGAAATTACGAATTTAAATGAACGAGAGTTGCCCACGGGGAGTTGATTTATTTTTTAATATTAATTAAAAGAAATTATCTCCGATACGCACTGCGCAAGAAAATTGTTCTCGACTTACCATGCTTATAGGTAACTGATCGATTAACGTGCGATCTGATCAATATCGAAAGCCGATCCATTCCATGGATCACGAGTCCGTGAGCAGCTCACATAATTTCCGCGAGAACTTGCAGCTCTGTTCCTCCATTTGTCCCTCGTGTCTAATTGACTACCCCATTTTCAATTTCCACCACGTTTCTCGTTTCCTGTTTCCACGTTTCTGGCTTGGCCGAGCTTCATCATGGTGGATACGCCTTGTCGTTCCATTGGCTCCATCGAAACTTCATTTCATCCTCATTTCTACCGACTGCCTTCTTCGCCAGGCAAGAAACACTCCGTTTAAGGAAATGAAAAATTGTCACTTCGTCATCTCTCTCCCCTGTTCATTCATTTAGTTGAATAATAAATTTTTTATTAAATTGTTTGCTTGTCGATGATTGATGCGTGACAGTTGCTCATGAAAGTATTCAAACGACAATGAGAACTTCTTATGAATATATTATGTGTGTTAAAACATTTTGACATTTTACTTTATCATTAGTGAATATTTACATAATTAATCTCTAGAATGTATTTAAAAGTACAAAATTCGTTCTTAAATGAATAATAAAATTCCTATTTCCACTTTTTTAGTTGCAACTAAGTAAACATAAAAGGTCAACTTTAATCCTCTGCCTTGGTACATTCCCACATTGTATCCTTCGAATTCTCTACCTGCCTCTCTGTCATTGCAAGGATATTAGCCTTGCAAAACGATCGAAAATGTCAAGATGATCGAGAGAAATTATACAACCTAAGCAACAAATCGATGGAAAGGTCGCGTAGCAGGTAGAAAATGGAAAGATGCACTTTTGCTAAAGGACATTAGCCCAGTCACCGGTTGAGTGTCTTGCACAGAAGCCCGCTTAAACATTTTATGAGCTGGTCGGCGTAATTTGATGGCCCATAAAAACGCCTAGTCTAGTTTTTCCCGGAGCATCGTGATCCATCGTTGTGGCGCGGGCCACGCGCCACCTTGTGTCCCTGACTTCTTCGGTCCGTCGCTCACCGATTTATTTCACTTTAACCTCCATTAAACCGGCGGATGCGTGGCGCAGATTACTTGGATACGTCTCGCGACAATCGAAGATCGCGTGTACAAAAGCAGGAACAATAATTCGTCCTCTCACACTGAAGATCGTCCATTTGTAACATTCGGGGATTTCCTGAACTGAAAGACGTAGATCAGTTGCTTTTCGGTGTTCTTTTTATTAATCCTTTAACATACATTGACATCTCTGAGGCGTTGGCAGGTTAATACGTATATAAAGATAAAAAAAGATATTTTTCTACATGCTTGGCAAGAGTATAAAAATTATCTTTGTTTATATAAACGTTAAAATAAAAAGTAAATATTTTTTGATATCCATATCGAAATTTCATTTATGTCAAGAGGTTAATGAGTCACGGAGCACGTTCGAAGCGATTTTAGTAACATGGAAGATCGAAGACGAAAAGGGACATGAGATTGTCAGTGACTTGAACGTATTGTTATCGAAACGATCCCGCTCAGATTCGTGTATACTTGCAAATATACCATTGGAAATAGATAGTTGTAAATGGTTCGAACCGCCATCGAACCTAAACCTAACCCATTTCACTGGCAACGCGCCGCCGCCATTAAACGCGGCAAAAGAAATCGGGAAGTCGTTCCACGAAGCGATACTAGT